GGGCCTGACGGAATCCCTCCAATTGTGCTGAGGACGTGTGCTCCGGAGTTGGCACCGGTTCTAACGCGTCTTTTCCGGTACTACTACTCCCTAGGCAAAGTCCCGAAATCATGGAAGACAGGTTTTGTCCACCCGATCCCTACAAAAGGCGACTGCTCAGACCCGTCCAACTACAGGCCTATCGCCATCACCCCCTTGTTCTCCAAAATAATGGAATCCGTTATAAACTGCCACCTCATGCCGTACCTTGAGGATAACCAGCTGATTAGTGACCACCAGTACGGTTTTCGTCGGGGTCGATCAGCTGGTGATCTTCTGGTCTACTTAACTCATAGATGGGCGGAGGCAGTAGAGTCCAAGGGGGAGGCATTGGCCGTTAGTTTGGACATTGCGAAGGCCTTCGATCGGGTTTGGCGCAAAGCGCTTCTTTCGAAGCTCCCTTCCTATGGGCTTCCCGAGAAATTATACAATTGGATCACCAGCTTTCTTGCAGATCGGAGCATCAAGGTCGTTGTAGACGGTGCTTGCTCCGACTACAAGCCTATTAACGCTGGTGTTCCACAAGGCTGCGTGCTATCACCAACGCTGTTTCTTCTGCATATCAATGATATGTTGCAAGCCGGTAGCATTCATTGCTATGCGGATGACAGCACTGGTGATGCTCTATACACCGGCCGTGCCAATATTTCTCGGAAAACGTCACCGAGTACCGGAACAAACTTGTGTCTGAAGTCGAGTCTTTGCAAGACAAATTCTCGGATTGGGGGCGACTAAATCTAGTCCAGTTTAATCCTCAGAAGACACAAGTTTGCGCGTTTACCGCTAAAAAGAACCCCTTTGTCGTATCTCCTCAGTTTCAAGGTACTCCCCTTGTTGCCTCAGCCAGTATCGGAATCCTCGGCGTCGACATATCGAGTAACGTGCAGTTTCGTGGTCACTTGGAAGAGAAGGCCAAAAAGCTCGGCGTGCTCAGTAGAGCGGGACAGTATTTCATGCCGGCTCAACGCCTGCAACTTTACAAGGCGCAGGTTCGGCCTCACATGGAATACGCTTCCCATCTCTGGGCTGGGGCTCCCCAGTGCCAGCTCCTTCCACTTGACCGCATCCAGCGCAGAGCGGCTCGAATCGTCGACGACCGAGTCATTTCCGATCGGCTCGACTCATTGGCACTGCGAAGAGATGTTGCATCTCTTAGCATTTTCTTTCGCATTTACCATGGGGAGTGCTCTGAGGAATTGTTCGGATTAATCCCAGCCGCCAAATTTCACGAACGCACATCGCGGCAGAACTCCCGATACCATCCACACCATCTGGATGATTGGCGGTCCACCACTGTGCGATTTAGAAGATGTTTTCTTCCTCGCACAACTTCCTTGTGGAATAGTTTACCACCAGCGATTTTTCCGGACCGATACGACTTAGGGACCTTCAAGAAAAGAGCCTACTCCTTTTTAAAAGGCCGGCAACGCATCTGCAATTCCCCTGGTGTTGCGGTTGTTCATGGGCGGCGGTCACTTACCATCAGATGAGCCGCATGCTAGTTCGCCCCCTCTCCTATAAAAAAAAATACCACCCGAAGTTGCTCGCAACATCAAAGGACTGTTGAACTTCTTCGGTGAGATCTCATGGCTCGAATAATTACATTATTCCTGCCCACACGCAAAATACGCGCTTAGACGTGGAGTTTCGGAAAACAGCCCGTCGTAAACTAAACTAAACTAAACTAAACATGTAGGGTGCATAACATTTAACTGCGTGTGTGATTGCTCACTCAAGTATGAAAAAGTATTCGTACACAGAATATGTATCGATGCGTAGAAAGAAACCAGACTGAATATTTTCCGGGGCTTTTTGCAACTGTTAAATCAAAATCGTGACCGTTTCTTGAATCGATTTAAAACAATAGACGCAACGTGTGTGTGTGTGTGTGTTTGTGTGTGTGTGTGAGCTACTGGAAACCATGCCCGAAAATCATGAAATAAATTACTTAAAACAATTACAGAACGAATACTGGAATTTGTAAAAAGTATAGAAAAAAATTCCTCCCTTTAAGTGTGGCCCCATAGTTCTTACGGTCTATCAACCAGATCTTGGGAATTATCTTTAGAATGAAGTAAATTTGATTACAGGCACTTCGTAAAATATAAGTAAAATTATTAAAGGTAACAAACAAATATGTAAGCTGTGTCCCTCAATCTGCACAAAAAATATAAACATGAATGAAATTTTTTCTACTAAGGTCATTAAATTGTGCTTTTTTGTTGTTAAGGTTTTAATAGAAGCATTATGTCAAATAGAAATGGAGCAATTAAGATTCCTTGAAAAATTATTTCAATAAGATATTCATTTAAAAATACACGCTAGTAATACCAGTTACTTAACTCTAAAAAGTCGGTAATTCCTTCATCGGGCAATGTATATACGCATTTTCAGCAAAGTCCTAGAAAATATGGACTTTATATTTATTCAAAAGTTAAGGTTTTAAAGGAACAAAAGCTTTATATAACAAATTATTAAGCTAATAAATAATATATATTTGACAATAATCGCTGGGAAAGAAGTAAACGTTACCACGCTCTTTCTAAAAGTTGAAAAAGTAGTGGGTCCTAAATTCAATATGTATTTTATGTATGTTCACCAATTGTTTGAAAACGGCTAAACTGATTTAAATTATTATTTTTATTAAAATTCGTTATACCTATAGTCCTATATAAATTTGGAGGAAAAAATCCACCTCTCAATGTGGAAAAACCAGGAATGTCGTTTGTAATGTACCGTATGTAACTATGTAGGCGACATTATGGTTATTAACGTGCGCTTGCTATATTTTTAGTCCACTCAAAGATAGCTAAAAATTTAATTTTGTAAAAAACCGACCCAAGAACTGAAATTCTTCTGAAGTTGGAGTTTTAATTCTTTATATTTAACGTGTTATGTTTGACTTTGACGTTGGTTTTCCCTTTTTATTAAGAGTATAATTTTTCATATTTCGCTGTTTAATATTTTAACGATAATTGAATAAGATTTCCGGTGTGTTTAATAAAGATTATTTTCTATTATATTCTATTCTATTTTGTTCTAATGTCTTCTGTTCTATTACATTTCGTTTCGTTCCATTCTATTCTATGCCATTCCATTCAATACAATTCTATCTTATTTTTATCTTTTCTGTTTTATTCTATTTTGTTTTTTCTATTCTATTCTAGATACATATTAAGAAGAATAGATAATTTTTTTAATTTTCAACTTTTTTTTAAATATTTTTACTAGCGGTGCAACAGAATGGAATTGTCATTTTATTGCATACTAGCTGTTCCCCGCGACTTCGCCTGCACGTACCTTATTATGATTGGATTTCATGGGTTTTAATTTTTTTGCGTGGAACTCTAATTATTTTCTAAAATAAAAGTAGCCTAAGTTACTTATTATAACATCAGCTATCTGCCAGTGAACGTCCGGTCAAAATCGGTCCAGCCGTTTCGGAGATTAGCCAGAATAAACAGACAGACAGACAGACAAACAGTCAGACAGACAGAAAGACAGACAGACAAAAATTTTAAAAATCGTGTTTATGTTATAAGTACCGTGTATACTCCATATGCACATAGTAAAAAGCTCTTATTTCGTCATTACAAACAGACATTTGAATTTTATTTATTTGTATAGATTTCAATATTCAGAAGTTACCCAAAATCAAAATACTACAATGTAGTAAATGTGAAATTCAATAGACCTGCTATTATTATACTAAGTCGGGTCATAAGTTCTGTTAAAACCTTATTATTTAATTTTTTTGAATACTGGCTAGATGAACTTTAACAATTTTAAAAATATAACGTCTGCGCTTGCCGAAAATAAAAAAAGCATTCATTTTCATTTATTTTCAAATATTGAGTGGTCGAAGAAATAAGATAGAGTAGTGGTTATCGCGCTACACCGCTGTGGTTACGCACAAAAAGAGATTTGTGAATAATTTTGTAGAATATTGAGTGTTTTCAATATTCTACAAAAATTGAAAGCAACGCTACGATTTGTTAATCGCACTATCAAATGATTCACTGAAGATTCAAGCTTCGAAGACCGTAAGAGGAACGGCCAACCTCGTACAGCTAGAACACCCGCGATCATCAAAGCAGTGAAGGCGAGAACCCAACAAAATCCTGTTCGTAAACAAAAAATCTTAGCTTTTCAGATTGACCTAAGGAGAACTACGGTCAAAAGAGTAACCAATGAAGACCTAGGACTACGAGCTTATCGTAAGAAGACCGGACATTTTTTGAGCGAGCGTTAAAAAAAATTAGGCTGGATAGATCCCGCGTTTAGTTACGGCGGTACGCGGGAAAAAATACCCCGAAATTTCGTTTTCAGACCAGAGCAGTGAAGAAGCCAGCACACGTATTCCGAGGGTTCAATGAGGACATTATCCTTCGTCACTCATGGTTTGGCTTGGAGTCTCATATTCAGGCTTAACTGAGGTGCTTTTTCTTTGAACAAGGTGTAAAAACCAATGCCAATGCAACCACTGGATTACAAGATATGGCAACATTTGGAGAAGAAAGTTTTCGCTAAACCCCATCAGAATTTGGAATCTCTCCGAGTATCTTTGCCTAAAGCAGCGGCAGAAATAGATATGAATGTGGTGCGTGCTGCGATTGCTGATTGGCCGCGTCGGTTAAGGGCATGTATAAAATAGGGGAGGACATTTTGAATAAAATCGTATTCTAAATTAAATTACCTTTCATTTCACATATAATTTCTATATAATTATAAAAAAGTGTATCATTAATTTTATAAAAAGTTTTTGACAGAACTTATGACCTGACTAAGTAATAACTTATCGATGAAATATACAGTGATGACAATAAAATTAGTACCTTTCGTAAAGACGATAAGTTAATATAATTAAAATAAAACAAAGTAACCTTAGTGTTGCTGTGGTCTAGTAATGTCCCAATCAATAATAACGGTGCCATTGGAATACGTTGTTCACTCTTAAAATCATGAACGAGAACAGTAATGAATTTCTACTTGATAATAAGCTTACAAGTGATTTGCAAAGATTCCTTCGACCTCTTTATATTATGCAGTTTGTATCATTTGGACCGAAGTTTTTGATACGTGATGGTTTTATAACTTCCAACAGCACTACTGTTAATATTATTAGGCTTTGTTTTGCAATTTGTTATTTCATTATTTATATAGCGATAGTGTCAATATATAGAATAAAATATTTCTCGAAATTCCTTCTGAACGTGATGATCTTCTCGCACTTATTATATTACGGATCGAGTATTCTGTTAAATTCTATCTTAATCACTATTCACAATGATATAAATGTTAAACTCATTTTAAAAATCCAAAAAATTCACAGATTTCTTAAATTTCAACAAAATGCCTATAAAAATTTAATTGTTGGCAATTGGATATTTATAATAATTATTTTCCTATATTATTTTATGATAATTCTAGTTCAAATTTATTTGAAAAGGCCAATTCTTATTTTTATATTTTTGCATGCATGTTTGCTAATGAATGATCTAAATTTAATTTACATTATTCGATTGATTGTGGTATTGAGAAAAGCAACGGTTGTGTGGACATCAAAACTGGAACAAATGTATGAAATGGAAAATAAAACTTTAAAATGCGAAGGCAGACATTTAAGACAAACTGCACGTTGGGAAAAAATATTTAAAACATATATTGACCTTATCGAAGCTTTTCACGCAGGGAACAAAATATTGGAAATTCAAGTAAGTTTCATTCATGTTCAATCAACACTTTCTCTGTAATACATGTTTATAAAATTTTAATTTAATTTTTAAAAATAAAATTGTTACAGATTATATATTTTATAATTTTAACATTTATTCAAACGTTAATCAATGTGCAGGTAGTTATAGAGGTACGTAATTTATTTATTTATTTAACATAATCCACAGCTCTTTAATTTCTCATAACTATTTTTCATATTCATCTATATCTTACAGCCAATAAGGATTTACATTTTATTTTTAGAAAACATTTCAAATTAACCGAACCGACACTTTATTACATTTTAGCGCATAACAATTTGTGTGTGCGTGTGTGTGTGTGGGTGTGTGTGTGTGTGTGTGTGTGTGTGTGGGTGTGTGTGTGTGTGTGCGTGCGTGCGTGCGTGCGTGCGTGCGTGCGTGCGTGCATGAGTGCGTGCGTGCGTGCGTGCGTGCGTGCGTGCGTGCGTGTGTGCGTGCGACTACATACTCTTAAAACGAAACCTAAATTTCTGTAAGCCTTACTTACTATACTCTCAATATGTTCCGAAAATAGTAATTTTGCATCCATAATATTGCTATATAAATCTTTAACGGAATGTGATTTATTTATTTAACATGGTTAATTTTATAACAAAAATGTATGAAATTTTTCTTACGTGTAAATGATATATAATGACACTTATCTATATTCATACATATACGATTTTGAGCATAATATCCGTTTAATCTATCGAGATCTGATTGAAGATTGATATTCAGTATGATTTTTAATCCTCATGTATACTTTTGTGTCATCCGCGTACATTAAGTATTTTGCATGATGTAAGCAAGTACCGATATCATATAAATAAGAAGCGTAGAGCAACGGTCCTAAGATTTAGCCTTGTGGTACACCAGATGGAATTAAAACAAAATTAAGTAATCAATAGTTTATTTCATTTCTGTTACTGCTATAACCGAATTAACATTAATTTTATTTTTTATTGTTAGATTACGATGTTTGATGCAGCCGTCAGCTCTTTGTTTTCATGGTCCATAAAAAATATTTTCTTGTTAACTGTACTAAGCTGGGAGTATGAAAACTCATACATTGCTCACAAAAATATCCAGGTGGTTTGTTTAATGATCAAGTGTTCTGGAAATGTTTCTAGTAAGTTTCTTTTTCATTTGATCGTATAATAAGATCCTATTTCGAGTTTTCTTTTGAATTACTTTCATTGCTACTTTTATAGTATTATTGTTGAATATGTTGTTGTGAGAACCGTAATAGCTCAAGGAATAAGCGCTCGCTTTACGTCTCTCAGTACGCGAAAAGCCACGTCGAAGACTCGTAATAAGGTTGACCTCGTCAGTATCAATGCAATATTTAGTTGAAGTTCTAAGCGTTCATTTACTATACTCTTGGCGGTAACGGAGAGCGTCATATCATATCATATCTAAAGAATTAAGGAATAAATATTTTGAGAACATGTGAGGTCCGGAGTCATCACAAAACGCGAGGAAACCTGTGCCCTGCCCTGCATTGGGGCGTATATAGCCAATCTTTTTTTTAAATAAGCAATTACCTAATCGAAGTAAAACTAAAATAACTAACTAACTAAAGTAATTCCTATTGTAACACATCTTGGAGTAGATACTGTAAAAAATATTTTTAAAGAACTCTTGCCGGGGCTTAACATTGGCCTCAATTAAAAGTTAACGATATTATGACTTTATATCACCTTTTATCGCCACCATTACAAATGTATGAGAAGGAATGACACGGGTAGAGCCATGCTTCGGCATGTCATGTCATGTCATGGTTATAGCACGAATCGGTCGACTCGACTGGGAAAGGACAATGCTGTTACAGAACACCAGCGTAAAATAGCAGGTTTATGCTGTTCTGTTCCGTATGGTAGGAGTGAAGAAAAAAACCCCTTTTTACTAGAACGAGGCATTCCATCTTAGTCCCCGAGGGTCACACATCGGCAGTTTGATTCTTAATCGAGGATAGATGTAGATGTCTATGTGCTACAGAATCCACTTACCAGCAGTAATAAAAAAAAGTTAATGGTTTTAAATATTCTTTATAGGTGAGGTGTATTTAGTCTGCAAGCAGTTGTGGCGAGAGAGTGTTGGTGTATGCGAATTATTAAATTCGCACAAATTTTTCAAAGTCGATGCGGCTTTACCACTGCGTCTGCTATCTGCCATCATCGTATACGTAATCGTGCTTTTACAGTTTGCATTTCTTTAAGCTAACAGTTGACCAAAGACGTAAACTATGCATTTATTTTATTTATCCAATATTAGAGTAACACGCAAACTAACAGTGTAACTACTTTTATTTTTGAAAAGCCTTTAGGGTTCCGTGCAAAAAAATCAAAAACCATGAAATCCAACCGTAATAAATTCCACTTAGTTTAATAATTAGTTTGTGTGTGTGTGTGTGTGTGTGTGTGTGTGTGTGTGTGTGTGTGTGTGTGTGTGTTGATGTGTGCTTTTTCTAAAAAAAGTATTTAATGTTTTTGAAGAGGTGAATAGAAATGGCTCGAAACCAATCAATCAAGCCGTCGGCATTAAATAAATACTTTGTTATAACGAAAATCCATCAACTAAATTAAACTGGAAATATATTGTTGCGACGGAAACAATGAAATTATTTTTTTAAAGAAGAGGAGTCTAGCGAGCACAGGTCTGACATGGTGATAAGTGATCACTGCCACCCATCGTAGTTAGTGCTTGAATACTGTCCTGTCTGATGATAAGTGGTGATGTAGTAGAAAATGTTTTTATTTTACTTGGGGAAAAAACCTATGTATGCCTGCTACGCGGGGGCTAGGACGGGTTATGTCGGACTCACACTGACTAAAATCCCATGGTGTTCCAACTTCGCCGCATGTTAGCAGGGCCACGGAAAAATTTTCTCACACATCCGCGGCCACACCAGCTCCAGCCACCTCGCTACAGCTTCCTCGGTGTATAACGTGAATGATGAAGTTAACATAATGTGTGTAACTATAATTAAATTGTCTAAACTTCTGATGTTATATTATGTGCACCTAAAGCAACAGGATGACATGCTTGTATAAATGACTACTTAAATAACTATTTTATTTTATCCATATAATATTTATGCTAACCAAACCTACATGCATAATTCAATAGTAGTCCTATTTATAGGTTTGTAAGTTTGGCCATTAGAAATTAGTTTTCATTTATGTAAATAATTAGTACATATGTTGAATGTAATTCATTAAAAGGATGAACATTCTTTTGGATTAAATATTACTTTGTATCTTAATTTGATATTGTAACTCAATGGTGAGGATGCGGGGCGGGGGGGGGGGCTAGTAATTTATACTATGTACGAGCCTTAATGAAATATTTTTCATATTATTTATGATTTGTCTGCGATTAGTGACTTAATTTGGCAACTATTTACTTCCTTTGCCCCATAGATTAATATATTTTTCCCTTTGATTTTAATAGCTGACTGTACTGTACTCATTTTTGTAAATCTTGACTTATTAAATAAAACTATTGGTACACAATTATTGTTTTACTATCGTTGCCTCGCCAAACAAAGCCGTACAAAGCCCAAATAATGCTAAAAAAATTGTTAGGAGTGTTGGGTCCATATCAGAGACGAATTTCCTTACACTCCATGCAACGCAAAGAAACAAATGAACTGTAAATAAAGATATAGCTGACTTAAAGCATTGATGCTCCGGAAAGTCTGCAGTTTGAGAACATGTTCAAGATCGTCCCCGCCATTACATTAGATGTGATAGACCACAAATCCTCGCAAAAGAACACCGATCCCTACCAAGGATGCTTCGCGAGGCTATTGAAATTTACAAACATCCTAATTTCAATACAGAAATAAGATGGGTCAAATCCAAACCCCAGCATACCACTGCAAGACTTCAAGATACTGTAAGCTCGTTCTGCGTGGATCGGACGAAAAATTAATATTCAAAAACTGAAAGTAGGCGGGCTCACTATGACATCGGAACTTTAAATACCTCGTATTCCTCCCCGTGACTATGGCTCCTGTAAAGCACCCGAAACGCTGGGAATTAAAAAGTAAAAGTAAATGTAAGAAAATATAAAAAATCATTACGTTAAATAAATGAATAAATGATATTGAAATGTGAATACAATGCCTTAAATACAAAATTTATTTGAATTTAGAACTCCATGTTAAACCTTATTTTATTTTTTTTATTTATTTACTATATATGTAACTAATATTAAAAACAAACTATAGTAAAGAAAAATTTAAACTAAAAATTTAAATTATCATTCAGTCCCACTTCCCGTTGTATGGTGTCAAGAACGCTGGCTGCGTTTCCTAGCTGAATGGCTATACTTAGCCTTTGAGGAAGAAAAGAACCAGCCCTCTTTTTACCACCAGCGATGACCAGTCGCGGATACAGTTCTTTTAGGATCTTCACCGCACGTGGACTACACGAACCCCTAGTCTAACAGCAAATGGCACAAATATGTAGTCATCTCATACTAGGAATTTATCTCTCTCCCAAGGGACCAAGGTTATACCGTCGTGTCTCTTGCCACCGTCTCTAAATATTCCACAAGGTTCTTAAACCATCATTTATAGAGACAAGAGCTCTTCGGATGACTTCGTTCAAAGAACCGTGACGGGAAAACTTAGCTGCACTTTTCTTACATGAAAGTCCGTGGAGCCCAAACTTGTCGACGCTTTAACCATAGAGGCACTGGTGAGGTTGACAAATTGCCGCTCCTAGACGGATTCCTACGGCAATGCGTAAGCCCCGTCAAGCAATGTGCCAAGATTACTTCATGGTTTAACGTGTAACCAGTGATTAGATTCGTTAGACGAAAGAGCTAGTAGAAGGCGGGCCTGATTTTGATCACTGTGGAAATTGTGAAACAAATCTTTCTGCACACTGTACCTGCGGAATATCCTACAAATTTTGTTAATTAACTTCCAGTGAAACATTTTCGCCGAGACAGAGCATTAGCCATGTTTGCCTTGCCTCCGCAGCAAAGCATTGGTCTACTTTATTATTTAAAGTTATCTTACATAAGTCATTGACACTATGCACATAAGCAAGGAAAGCAACCAATGCAACGCCAGAACGATTTCTTACACCAATACCACCAAATTTAAAAAAATATATACACACAAGAAGTTTTTACGTATGTTAAAAAAGTATCAAAATCTATGGGTCGAGGGATTTAAGGAGCAATGTGATTATTTTTATATCACATATTATGTGTATGTATTATTTGATGTCATTCAATCAGAAATCAAAATCAAAAAATAATATATGTATTAATAAAATATTTATATTAATGATAAAATATATAATTAGGGAAATAAGTAAGAAATAAGAAAAAAAAAGTAGTTTTCAGTCCACTCTAATACTATAAAGTTTATTTATGAAGATAATATATGCTTAAAATACTGATAATATTGTAAAATCATAATATATAATCGATATTTCTCTTTTGGATTTCCGACATATCTTTTTAATTGAAAAGGGTTGGATTTACAATAGTTTGCCATGAGCATTGGGGGAATAAAATGTTGTATTTTATAGAGATATTGCAAAATATAGCCCGTTGCGACCTACTATACTATACTATACTATACCATACTATACTATACTATACTATACTATATTATACTATACTATATTATACTATACTATACTATACCTAGCTAACTTTAAAAAGTCAATAAAGAGAGCAATGAAATTAAAAGATTTTAAATTCTCTATGATTGTTATTCTCAAACTATTTAATAACGTTCAACTCTAAATAGCTTTCTAAAAGACATTTTAGATTATTAAAGGTAAAAGCAAGACGTTCTGGCAATTTATTTTAGAGAGTTCTTACTCTGTTTCATTTCATAATGACGTAAGGAAAATGGAGTATTTGTTTCATTTTTAGCAGACTCCAATAAAAGAGGACGTTCACAATTGCACTGTATTTTGAGTTTTTTCTATGTATATTACGCAATACCTTAAACTTGAACCGATTTTAATTATTATTTTTTATCAAATATTTTTTTTAGCTTTCTACACCTCCATATAAACGAAAATTATGCCAAATCTCAAACTCTTCGGTGTGAGCAATATGTTTAAAAAGGAGTACTAAATTTTCTCTTCACATTTTAAATATAAATAGATAACCGCAATCCAAGAGCCACCCAATACCAGCGTGAAATAGCAGCTTAACACTGCTGTGTTTCGTATGGTGAGTGTAGAGAACCGGAGACCCCTTTTACTGGAAAAGAGGCATCTCAGTAGTCCTCACGGGTGATAACGCATCTGCATTTTGATTCTTTATTGAGGATATATGTAGATGTCTATGGGTCACAGCAACCACTTACCATCAGGTGGACTGTGTGCTCGTATATCACCCTAATTCTAGTTTAAAAAACCCAGCCACATATGATTGTCACTGATAGTACATAAAAGAAATATATTATTCATTCAATCCTGCAACTGGATCATTAGTCACATTCTCACATAAGCACCGCTTGCATTAAATAAAATTTGCCGCATTTTTTTTTTATAGAATAGGGGGCAAACGAGCATGCGGCTCACCTGATGGTAAGTGACTACCGCCGCCCATGAACAGCCGCAACACCAGGGGAATTACAGATGCGTTGCCGGCCTTTTAGAAAGGTGTAAGCTCTTTTCTAAACAAGATAAGTTCGGATTTTACGGTACGCAGAGAAATAAGCAATTATTAATCGAACTACTATTTCAATTAAATTATTATTTCTCAGAGTATTTGCTTAAACTGCTGTGTAAATATACTTAATACAGCTGTGTTGGTGACTAATGAGTCTATAATGTTCCTTACAAATTGCCACATTTGTTTACACAATGCCAATAAAGTTAATTACTGATTGTATTATTTATAAACTGCTAAGTGTGACCGACTTAATGTCTTAAATTTTACATTAACTCGTTTTTATTCATTACAGTCTATCAAAGTCCGCTTCTGAACACAGGCCTTTCAATAGATTGCCCACTGGGGGGGATTTTTGGCATAGAACTTAATATAGGTTATAAGTAATACTTACTGAAAGTCACTCATGTTTAATTCACCACTGGTTCGGAAAATACCTCTGTTCTGGGACCAACCAACAAGAAACCCATCGAAACATTTTACAATCATAATACAGTAACACAATTAACTGCACAAAACATATTAGAAATAGCTTAGTAGCGGTCACGTCGTTCCCAGATGATA